AAATCAAGGCATTTGTTCAGAATGCACGGACACGTTGAGTTATCGGGAAACATTTGACGCAGCAACGAATAAAAGAAATAGAATTTTATTTTTAGGTGTTGTGAATAATCACAAATCACACATAAAAATTTTTAAAATAAGCGGATGATATAATATTGGTTGCATTTTCATTGGCGTCATTTAAATTGGATGACAATTTCACTTTAAGCTGGGCGACGCTTGCAGCATGTCAAGAATGCCAGTTTGTATTTTTTAAAAATTTTAAATATGCTTTCATTCGTTGCGACTTTGTTTCCTTCTGGATTGAAGACAAAAGTGATAAATTAAAAACAAGAAAACAAAAAAGTAAAGCAATCGTGATGACATACTCAGTAACGAGATTTTGGATTTTTATCGGAAGAATAGCGACATAAAGAATTTATTTTCAAATCTACCTTCACCTTCCTAGAGCATTTTAAATATATCAATAATGGAATAAATTTTACTAGCTGCCGAACTCTTTTATTACTAAGTATGGCAATCAGTGGAAACTAATAGGAGCATCAAATAGAGCTAAACTTCAAAACGGCAAAGGATAAAAATTAAAAAATTGTGGTATGTTCTCTCTTTATTTACCTTTTTCAGCTTCATTTGTTGCTTCATCACGATTCTCACTTTCCTTATCCAAATCCTGTAAATATAATAAAGCTAATGAATAAATAACTGCAACAAATCTATCAATAAGACTTTACCAATGTATAAAATGTTTCATTTCAAAGCATATAGATGAACTGGACATTTCTAAAAAGATAGCAATTATCGAAGTTATTTTTAGCAGAATCAGAAATTGCAAGGAAAAAAAAACTGCCACTATTACCTGTGTAAAATTTGGTGTATCCTGAAGTGTTCCAGTTTCCTGCAATTCCTTGGCTATAGAATAAGATGACCCTGGTGTTATAGGATTGTTATACATATCTTTTGTAAGCTTGGCACAATGTTGTTCTATGTTTTGTACTCTAGCTTTAAGTTCCTGAAACAAGCATTGCATAGTTTTTTTTAAATAATTAATAAGTAACACTTGAAATGCTATATGTGTTAGAGGAAAATATCAGAGTATATATATATATATAAATTCCAAACTTCAACAAAAGATCAAAATTAACTGAAATATACCAGCTGATCACCACCAAGCTGCTCCACATATGCTAATACCGCATTTAAATTATGTTTCTGTTCAGAAATATTTGCAGCTTCAGCGTTCCGATCAGATTCATTTCTCACATCGAGTTGACCTTTGATCGTCCTAAATAGACGGAAAAGATCTTCTATTTTGATATCCATGCTCTGATCAATTACACGTAGGGTATCTTGTCTGTCGTAAATTCCAAGAACTAAATTGTATAATTCATGCATCCGTTTCACTACACCTTCATCAACTTTCTGAAATGGAAAAGTTATTCTCGAACTTTTTTCAAAAAACTAAATTGTAGTTTTTTATTTTGAGCTAATCGATCTTTATTAGCAACTGATTCCTATGTTATCATCGCATAAATACGAAAACTCTTCAGTGATAAGTAATTAGTGAAAAGTTACGATGAACCTAAAATTTCCTTTTGCAACAAACATTTTAATCATTTCCCTTTTTAAAAAATGAATTTTCAGATTTCAGAAGTGAAACTTCACCACTAGTTGTTGTAATCATTACCTGCTCAACATTTTCCATGGAGCTCACAAGTTTGTTTGCATTTTTATTAAGTTCTTCAGTTTGCTTGGCATAAAGTCCTTCTATCAATAACTTAATTTCTGCGCTCATTGTTGTTTTAAAATCCTGAAATTATAAAATGTTTTAATATGGTGAAATCTTATTTTGCATGAATTATAGGAAGGGAAATGTATCAAAATACCTCGAACGCTTTCGATTCTACGCTGCATTTCTTGTTAACGTCCGATGAGTCTGGCTGAAACTTTTTAAAATTCATTTCATTATATTGTTTTTGAATCCAAATATCTTCGACATTCTCTCAGTTTCACATAAATGTGTTATCAAATATTACATAATGAGAGAAAATTGCATACTTTTCCAATCATTGCATTTAAAATTCGTTCAACTAAATATCCAAGTTGAGGTTCATCTCGAAGAATAACTTTGGCCATCTGTTCAAAATTACGTATAGCATATTGTACATTTTCATTCCCCATCCATTCAAAATCAGAGTGCATTGCTTCGGTTTTAAATTTCTCGACAACCAAATTCAGTTTTGACTCCAATTGACGATGGAATTGTTCTGTTGTCATTGCTCCGAATTCAACATATTTAAGACGCTCAGCCAGAGTGTTAAGGCGATCACGCAATTCTGCTTTTTCTTCCTCAGACTTCTTGAGCATTTCTTCGTGCA